AGTTTTTGCCTGCAGATCTTCAAGTTTATGTGACATTAGGCATAAGTCATCGGCGAAATCCAAGTCTTCTAGGTTCTTTTCCGTCGTCCAGTGTATCCCCCTCTTCTCGCTGCCTACTGTTTGCTGCATGATCCAGTCCACCACAATAAGGAATATCATGGGGGATAGTAGGCAACCTTGTTTCACTCCTGTCTTCACTTCAAAGGCATCACTGAGCTTCCCATTGTGGATTACTTGGCATGTGGCATCTTCATATAGTTGTTGAATGAGGCGGATAAAGGTTTGCGGTACTCCGTAGTATTGAAGCAGTTTCCAAATTACTTCTCGGTCGACGCTGTCAAAGGCCTTCTCAAAGTCGATGAAGTTGAGGTATAGAGCTGATTGCCATTCTACGCTCTGTTCTATGATGATACGAAGCGTTGCAATTTGGTCAGCACATGATTTGTACTTCCTGAAGCCTGCCTGTTCCGGTCGCAGTTTTGAATCCAGTGCGTCTTTAAGCCTCTCCAGGATGATGCGGCTTAATATTTTACTTGGGGTGGATAGGAGAGTGATTCCGCGCCAGTTCTTGCAAGCACTGAGGTCTCCCTTCTTCGGCAGTTTGACAAGGTAACCCTTCTTCCAATCGTCAGGTACCTTCTCTTCCCTCCACACCTTCTGCAATAGTGGTGTGAGCATGTCCGCTGTTGTCTCTGCATCTGTTCTCAGTGCTTCTGGCGGTATTCCATCTGGTCCTGCTGCTTTCCCGCATTTCAGTAGCTTTATGGCGTTCAGGACTTCCATTTTCGTTGGGGGATTTATGTTCACTTGTAATTCAGCGGCTGCAGGTGGTATTTCTGGACGAAGTGCAGGTGGTGGTCGATTCAAGAGCTTCTTGAAGTGGTCGGCCCATCGTTTCCTCTGTTTCTCTTCTTTTGTAATTAAATTTCCTTCTTCATCTTTTATTGGTTTCATCTGTGTTGGTCTCTTCCCTGATAGCAACCTGGTTATTTGATACAATGTCGTCAGGTCTCTCTTACCTGCAGCCTGTTCTGCTTCACTTGCCAGTGTGTCGTAGAAGTGTCTTTTGTCTTTGCGTGCACTCTTCTTCACTTCTTTATCCAGTGTTTTATACATTGTGCTCAGTTCCTCTTGTCGTTGAGCATCCTTGCACTGGTTTATCTTCTGCTTCACCATCCTCCTCTCCTCTATCAGCTTCCAGGTATCCGTCGAGATCCATTCCTTGTCTTCTTTCTTCTTCCTTCCTAATACTGTTGTGCAGGTTTCTTTCCACATAGCTTTCAAAGACTTCCAGTGTTCTTCTACACAGGTTTCTTCAGGGATGTCCCTCGACGTCTCCCATTTTGTCTTGATGGCTGCTTTGAAGATCTCCTTTGTAGTTTCATCCTTCAGTTTCCGAGTGTTGTACTTGAATTGAGGTCTATCACCAGCTTCCTTGAAGGCTTTTAACTTGATTTGGAAGGTTCCTTGCACTAGATAGTGGTCTGAACCTACATCTGCTCCTCTTCTTGACCTTGTGTTAAGTAGACTGCGTCTCCATTTTCTTGAGATTGAGATAAAGTCGATTTGATTTTTAGTGTGTCCATCTGGTGAAGTCCATGTCGCTTTGTGGATATCCTTGTGCCTGAACACACTGCCTCCAATCACCAAATCGTTGAATGCACAGAATTCTGCAAACAATTCTCCATTCTCATTCATTTCACCTAGCGCCTCTCGACCCATGGTTAGTTCTCTTCCCGTGTTGTCCCCTCCCAGTTTGGCATTCATGTCGCCCATTAGAATTTTGATATCGCCAACTGACGTCTTGTCCAGTGTTGATTGAAGTTGTCTGTAGAATTCCTCCTTTTTCTCTTGCTCTGCATTATTTGTAGGTGCATAACATTGTATGATTGTGACCTTTCTTCCTTTTGAGTTGAATCTTGCTGTCATGATCCTGGAGGAGATTGGTTCCCACTGCATGAGAGCCTTCGATGCTCTTGAGGACATCATGATAGCCACTCCCTCAGTGTGCTCGTGGTTGGCGTCTGGGTGACCGGAGTAGATTATTGATTCTCCAGTTGACAGTTTGGAGAGTCCACTCCCATTCCATCTGCTTTCGCAAATCCCAAGCACTTCGATGTTATACCTTCTCATCTCCTTTGCAATCTGGGCTGCCTTACTGGGTTCAAACATCGTGCGGACATTCCATGTCCCCACGTTTACTTTCGCTTTCATCGAGAGAAGACACATCGGCCAATTGGCTTCCCGAAGGCTTTCACCAACTGGCGTCATTTCGCCTCTCCGATTCCAGCGGGGAATAAGTTTGTTTTCATTTTTTATATTTTGTTTGTGCTTTGAAGTTTCTTTAGCGGTTAGATTTGTTTTACGGGGTAGGGTTGCTAGCCCTATGCCCAACCTTCCCTCTTTACCCGGGCTTAGGACCGGCTAGTAACTAGTAAACTAGTTAACCAGGCGAGGTTGAATATTGAATAGCCTATCCAAAAATGCCTGTCGCTAATTGGGTTTGTAAGTTTAAGTGCCACTGTGATACTGACTTTGTTGAGAATCCTAACAAGGACTTCCATTGTCTATCCCTCCAGAGTTTTACAATGTAAAGAAAAGAAATCAGTGGTCGTTTGTAAAAACCAACTGACTTTAAAGACTACCTTAGCGACATCTAAAATAACCAATTAGATTTCTCTATTTTATGAAAATCTGCATTTCCAGGCGAAATACAGAAACCTAATTGGTCATTTCAGCAGTCGCTAAGGTGTGGCGCCACGGAAAGCACTTCTAACAAACTACAATAATTCATCAACGGCTGCTATCTACGCTGGCTCGATACTGAAGATGAGATGGTCAGAAAGAATAATCAACAAGGAACTCCGGGAACGAACCAACGGAGAACCTATCACGCAATAAATATGCAGAAGAAAGTGGAGATGGATTGGGCATACACTGAGGAGATCGACTGGGGACATCACGCAACAGGTCATCCAGTGAGATGCAACTGGGAAACGATGAGTTGGGCGTCCTGGGAGATGGTGACATGGAGGAGATCAGGTGGGGAAGAAATGAAGGCTTGCGGGCAGTCTTGGCACCAGGTTCGAAAGACTGCAGAGAACATAGTGCAATGGAGGCGTGCTACTGAAGCCCTATGTTCCACTAGGAACCGAAGGGAATAATAATAATAACATTTACAGATAAGAGACATTCGATGATTTATTCAGGTATTCTAACGATATCCTGTAGTCCAAAGAAGGTTGGGCATAATCATAGGTTGAATGAAACTGGAAAAAACTTTGTGCTATATTTCTTAATGACTTGCTCACTAACCCATGGTACGCCATCCAGTTTCCAGTGCTGAATAAATCCAATCCTTCAAGTGTGCAATGCACATAAAAAACATTTTTATTTGACATCATAGAGTGTTTTATTCGGTATCGGTTATTCTTCAATGATTCCTCTGTATAGACAAGCAAGTTCTGCAGGGAGCTGGTTGTGGATCAGTCAGCTGAATGGTAACACTCTGAAATACAACAGAGATTCAAGTCTCCGAAGAATCATCGGTTTGACCAGAGTTGCAGATACACCAACCTTATGTCTCCCGATAAGTTGAAGACCTAGGTTCAACAGGGTTTCCTGATATTTCCTATCAGCCACAAAATTTAGGATTAGTATAAACTTCAGTTGTCTTTAGTCTGCTCAGTAATGACGCAATATGAATATGCTTATTCCGACAAAAGCTGTAAATTTAATAATCAGATAAATTGTTCTTCCTTGCCTTAGGCTTTGGTCCTGAACCTCCCGGTGTCAGCTTCTGCTTAATCAGCTTTCCAAACGCTAATACTCATTGTGGTGAACCCATTCTATAAAAATCGATCAGTAAGGAGGACAGAACAGTAAAATATCGGTTACTTTTTATTGGCCAGATAGGGAAGTTGTGCAATACAGTAATAAACTTAGTAAGGTCAGCAAAAACACTAAACATTCATATAACATTCGAATATGCCTCATTTCCTTATTAGGGTAGTCCTGAGGCGATGTTAGCAAGCATGATAGCGAATTTTCGGGGAGAAAAATATCAAATCTCAGAGAACACCGAACCACCATCATCTTCAACCTGAGCTACAAATCTTTCCCATCCGTCATTTTTTAGCACTTCATTTTATCTGAATGAATATAAATCAGACTTGTGAAGAGAAAAGAAATCAAGTAGACGGTTTGAGTTGTGCGTTCATTGGTGTGTGTGTGTGTGTGTGTGTGTGTGTGTGTGTGTGTGTGTAGTTTTCAAATATTGTATAAAACAATAATTTCATGCTTCTTGACAACTTAACTGAAGGGTATGGAATGTTGCAAACAAGTCTTACTTCGAAGTATCTCAACTTGGACCAAATTTTAGCTGCACAATGATCCTTTTTCTGAAGTTGTTATTCATTGTAGACTAACATCACTTGGAGGAACAAAGGAAACCTGGGAGCGCTGGACAGCTGTTTCATCTTAGTAGTATGGGACTCCTCAGCAGTACGCACCCATGACCCCGCTAAGGATGTCAGTCTATGACGAACATTTCCAAATCGCCACAACTCCCTCGAAATTTGATCATTTTTCTGTCATAATACAACTGAAATTTTAGAAATCTTTTAAGTGATGAGTAGATCAATAAAGTTATAGCTTTGACTGACATCAAACTGAATTCAGTGTAATAATCAATCGTCAGGTGGTGTGCTACAGAAGGTACAAGTGAGTATCTGGAATTTTCATAAAACCTCAGCAAACTAATTAGTAACTAAAGGCCAAATATAGATCTGGCTATTATTTGAGCCCCATGACTTAGGATGTTATTAAGTGGAATCCTACTGCTACAAACGTTTCCTAAATCTCTAGTATTATGCAAGATTGTGTTATATCATGGGATAATTTTGAAAACAACGCTTTAAATCATGTTATCTATTTTAAAAAAGCTAATAAAAATAACTTTAAATGACTTAAAGACATAATAATTATGGGACAAAACTCACCTTTGTTTTTCTCTAATCAATAAATGAATGTTAATGATAGTAATTTCAAAATGTAAACAAATAATTCTAATTCACTGAAATAATATCCTTGAACTGTTGAACTGAACCAAATTAATAAATTTTGAAATCATATCTCTTAACAAACTCTTATATTTCATTGGTCAATACATACTCAATTTTGATTGGTCTTTTCGTCATAGGTATCTGATTCTTATGACCAGTTATAAATCAATGAAAATTATGAGATGGGGATAGAAGAAATAAAATAAATAGCATACAGTATAACTGAATTATTCTCATTTTATTGATTAGGCTAACATTCAAAATATTGATCTCCTCCATTTAAGATGCTCCAATTGAAATAAAGACTGAGAAGAAATAAAATACTACCTTCAGCTTACAGTAATTATAAACTCGAATATATCAAAGTATATTTGCCTGGAAGGCAAAACATTCTGTTTATAATTTTACCTGAAAACGAATTATTAATACGTACTTAATAATACTATTTTATCTAAGTGACGCTGTAAACTAGTCGTGTGAAACAGTTACCACGGATATCATTTGTAAATGATACAAGCTTCGAAATTGTATTGCAGTAAAGAAGACCCCATGATTCAGAGAAAACTTTGTTGAATTCATCGGTTGTAAATATTGGAGATTTATTTGGTACTGGTCAGTACAAACTTTTATCAACAACTTGGTCAACAGACAATAGGTAGAATATAATAGATCCGCTGTCATACTTACAGTATCGACCCTAAGCAAGTACACAAATTTGGCCCTCTAATATTTCTGTATGTACCATTTAGTGCTAAACTATTCACGTCATGACTGAGTTTCTGTAGGACTTCATGAATTGATCACTGCCTTTTGACAGTGGGAAGTAGTCCAGCGATATCAGACGCGCTTTCCACTAACCCACTAAGCTTGGTGACACAATACAAAAATGGATCATGCCTTCTGCTAGGTTGAAAGAATCTGACCATGATCAGCCAAAATCTTCAAAAAACTTTTGGGATTGTATCATTCTCAGTTACATCTATTATGTCTGAACACCGTAACTTTCTCGATCATTAGAGTTACCATTATTTGTCCCTTAAGTTCCCAGTGGAACATACGGCTTCAGTAGCACGCCACCGTTTCACTCTTCTCCAGCCTTCTAAACCTGGCTCCACCATTACACATAAACTTTCATTTCTTCTTTACACAATCTCCTCCATGTCACCCTCGGATGTCCAACTAGTTGTTTCATATTCGGATTCCACTCAAGGACCCGACCTGTCGCGTGATGTTCCCAAAGAGCCTTCCCAGTGTATGTACAATCTAATCTATCTCCACTTTGTTCTACTGCATATTTGTTGGGTGATGGGTTGTTGGTTGGTTCGTTGCCAGCCAGCCACAGTGAGTTCCAAGTGTCTCAACCATCATATAAAAGCACTGAGCTACTTGACTAACATTAGTGTTCAAAATCCGGATCTTGTTCACGCTTTATGCTGAGTGAAGTGCAGTGCAGTGCAGTGCAGTAGATCTCCACACTGATTTCAGATTGATGAAGGCCTGTCTTGCTGTCTCTCCGATGGTGGCTTTGGCATCCTCATCTGTAGTTCAAACGATGCCGCCAGGGTATGTAGGTGAAAAAGACAACCTCCTTTAAATCTCTTCCGTTGATGGTGATTGGGGCTTCTCGTTGTTGTTATTGTTATTGTTGGTTGGGTATCTTCATCACCTCTGTCTTCTCCGCATTCACCTGATGAGAGTCCCGACTTCTCTGCCTCACCTCACCTCTTCTGCCAACTTGTTAGTTTTTGCCTGTAGATCTTTGAGTTTGTGTTACACTAGACATAATTCATCATGGGTGAAATGGAAATCTTCTTCTAGGGTATTTTCATTGGTCCAGCTACAGTATGCTTATCTTCTCGCTCCTCACAGTTCGTTGCAAGATCCAGTCCAGTCGACCACAATCAGGCACTAAAACCGTAGTTTAAAAAAAGCTGCTAAATTACTTCTCGGTCGACTCGGTGGAAATCCTTTTCAAGGTCGACGAAGATGAGGTAGAGATTTGACTGCCATTCTATGCTCTATGATGATACGTACCGTAGCGTTGCAATTTGATCCGTTCTTCCTGAAGCCAGCAGCCTGTTCCGGTCATATTTTGAATGCAGAGCATTTTTTAGTCTCTCCAGGATGATGCGGCATAATACTTTGCCTGGGGTGGACAGAAGCATGATTCCTCACCAGTTCTTCCAAAGACTTGGGTCACCCAACCTTCTTTGGGAGTTTGACAAGGTAGCTCTTCCTCCAACCAATCGGCAGGTACCCTTCCTTCCCTCCAAACCTTCTCCTATAGTGCTGTGAGCATGTCCATTGTTTTCTCTGTGCCTGTTTTCAGTGCTTCTGGCGGAATTCTATCTGGTCTTGCTGCTTTTCCGGACTTCAGTGACTTCATTGAGTTCAGGACTTTTGCTTTTCTCGGAGGGTCTGTGTTCACTGATAGTTCTGTGGCTGGGCTGTTGGTGGTATGTTTGTGCGAGTTGCAGGTGGTAGTCGATTCAAGAATTTTTTGAAGTGGATAGTCCACTGTTTTCTTTGCTGCTCCACCTTGGTAACTAAGTTTCTTTTAATATCTTTCATTGGTTTTGTCTAAGTTGATCTTTTCCCTCCCAGATAGCAACCTGGTTATTTGATATAGTGCTGTCAAGTCTTGCCTACCCGTAACCTGCTGCTGTTCACTCGCCAATGTGTCTTAGAAGTGTATTTTGTCTTTCCGCGCACTCTTCTTCACTTCTTTGTCCGCAGTAATGTTTTATAGGTTGTGTTCAGTTTGTCTTTTCGTTGTTCGTCCTTGCACTAGTTCATCTACTGCTTCATCATCTTCCTCTCCCTGCTCTATCAGCTTCCATATATCCGTCGAGATCCATTCCTTGTCTTGTTTCTTCTTCATTCATAGCACGGTTATGCAGGTTTCCTTCCACGTCCTTTTCAAACACTTTCAATCTTCTTCTACACGGGTTTCTTCAGGGATGCTGCTCAGTGTCTCTCATTTTTTCTCAGTCGTGATGTGACAATATTTTACCCATTACAGTTTCTTGATAGTTTCTAGTTTGTTCATTTCACTTCGACAAGCATATTGTATATTTAGAAGGTTGTGTGAACAAGCAGTTAGTTGTTTTACTATTATCAGGAATCTTAAACCAGGAAGATTTGCTGATTTTTTTATTAGCTCAAACGAGATTCACATGCTGAATTACTGATCATTACAATTGTATTCTCAACCAATAAGCTTACTATCTTTATATACAAAAACAGACAGGACTTATGCTACTTTCAGAAAAGGATTTTCAGCCGGTCCTTAAGTCCTATTGACAGGTGAGAATATTACTTTTGATGGTGAATGAAAGAGTTTACAAGAGAGCTTATTTTTACAATTCATATATATATATATATATATATATATATATATATATATATATATATATGCAAAGTGCTGACAAAAGCGGATCCATGGAACTTAGACGATCCGTGAGAGGAACAGAACTAGTGTAACTGACGAAAGGCAGTCGTAGCATACTATCAGGCTGTAACTTCAGCAGGAACCTCAATTAATTTTGCATACCATATGAATTCTGCGAAACAATAATTGACTAGTTATTCACCATACAAACTGCTATACTAGATTGTGAATGTAAACATAGCATGGTGAAGAGTTCCCCATATCTTGGATAGATTTTTGCAGCAAAATCAAAATGAACTGCTATCGAGATTTTTACATCCATCCACCAAATATAATGCTTTTCAAAAGAAGTCTTGGGAGTTTGAAATGCAATCATATACGACTAGACTACTTATAAGTAGTTGAAATGGCAAGACGACCTTTTCAGTAGGTTGACCGTCTGTTGGTCTAGGACCAATAACGAATGTTTGACTGGAAACTTGAAGTGCTCTCCATAGATTCATTACAAGACAATGTCGTGATTCAATGAAGTAAATACAAATGGGTCATCATCATCATCAAGATCAACATTGGACTAGGCATTACTGCGTAATGGCTCAAGTTGCCACATCTCATATCACCACGTCCAGTAACCAGGTAATAAAAGGGAAGATGAAAAGGGAAAGAAAAGTCGGTCAAAAGAAGTATAAGCAGAAATTTGTAAAAGAGGTGAAGGAGGTACGAGAAGATGATGAGAATAAGCATGACTATCAGGATGAGGATGAAGTATGGATACATCTGCGCCACTGACATCAGCACTGAGCCATATCAACTAGAGTCTTCAATCGCTGGTTTCTCTTGTCCTGAGGACCCCAACCAGTTAGTCTGCATCACCCTGCGTGAAGGACTTCGTGCATTGATGTCATGTTTAGTCTGGCTACCTCAAGGTATTTCCAGCCCGAATTTACTTCGGTCAACATTGTGCAATGAAACACATGGTAGCTAAGCATATGAAACACATATGTCAGGCATCTCAGTCGATGAAAGTTTACATCTGCATCAACTATCTGACTTCTCTTGCCTGAAACTCTGCGCCTGGCTTCTGCGCTACTTACTTGGTGATACCATGAAACACGGTCTGTGCTATGAAAGGTAAAATTAGTCAAGCACCTGAAGCCTTCTCATGTCTTCTACCTTTAATGGCCATATATTACAAGCATACAGTAGAAGAGAGCAGACTGCAGAACAATACGCTCAATCCTTAATACACAATCAGATATTGCGACTGCACCAGAGATGGTGTAAGTTAACAAATGAGTATATTCAGCTAAAATACAGCAGGTCAGTCAGACAATATTTATGTCATAAGTATGAACAGGAACCCTAAAAACTTTACAGTCAATTTTATGCTTCACTGACTTAAGAATCGGCAAAAGCTAGAGATAGTATGGAAAGTGATCCAGAACCCTTTACATTCAAGAGTTTATAACTGCTGAGAGTTTGAAATTCTGTCATTTAGCACGTAATCATCAGATACCTGGGTCACAATTTTATGGTTTATAACTGGTAACATCAACCATATATCCTGATAATTGTACCAGACATCAGTCCTCATTTTCATTGTTTTCAAAGACAGTCAACTTGTTCTAGACATGCCAAAAATCCATCTACATTCATAGCACGCGAGTAA